TGATTTATAAGCCAGGTTCTGCTCCTCCTGCTAAATTATTTTTTGAAGAATTAATTTTAGTTAAAGAACAAATCACACTTTTATGTTGCTGTATTGTAGTTGCATGTGACTTCAACATACACATAGAAACTTTGTCAGATATATATGCAACAGCCCTTGCTGATGTTTTTTCTGGTTTTGATCTAGTCCATAGAATGGTACCCTAGATTTTATTGTTACATCAGATGGTTTTTTGTTAGAAAATAAATTGGTGTATCCATCTAGTATCTATTCAGATCATGGTTTATTATTATTATTATTATAATTATTATTATGTTATTTACATTCCTCAGAGGATTGTACTGGGATTAAATGCTTTGTTGAACAAATAACTTTTCCACTCTCTTCTGAAATCTTTTTCTGGAACAATTTGCTTCAATCTTGTTGGAAGATCATTCCATACCTTGGGCAGAGCAACCTGCACACGTCTGTCACCCAAGTTTTGTCCTGGTCGTAGGAATTACCATCATTTCTAACGAAACCGAACGTAACTGGTTAGTAACTGGTTAATTTTTAATCATGCTGACTCCAGTCATTTTCAAGAAATCATTGATCAGATCCTGTAAACGAGTGGATAAAAAAACGTCTGACTGAGCTTTTTAGGTGCTCACCTATATCAGAATGATGATGTTGAATAGGGTTTTAAAATATTCAATGAAGAGCTTTTAAAAATAGCTGATGATGTTGCTCCACTTCATGAAGTACAATGGAAACATGTCCCGACTGCACTATGGTTTCACTAGGGCTAAGCAAATGTGTCGAAAAAAAGAAAGAACGTTTAGGACTGATAAAGTTGATTATGTATGGGCAATGAAACAAAAGAATGTTTGTTACTCAGCGAAGTAGAGGAGTTTTTGGTTTGCGAAAACATGTCAATTTAAAAATAATTTCAAGTACTTATGGCAAATACTTATTAAATTATTAGGAAAAGTGACAAGTGTTGAAAATGAAGTTGGTTTAATGCATAGTGCCGATGATTAAAAAAAATTTTTTGCTGACAAGTTAAAAGTGACCGAAAAGTCCATTTATTTCTACTAACACTATCATGTTTCCATTCGAATCGTTTTCAGTGTTGACTGAAGAACAGATATATAAAGTTGTTAATTCGTCATCTACAAAATCATGCTCACTGGTCCCAATACCGACGCATGTATTCAAAGAATATACTGACTTTTTTATTGTCTACTTAACGGATATAATTAGTATGTGCTAACAAAAGGTGTAATGCCACAGGTTTGTAAGCAGGCGATTGTTACGCCAATTTTAAAGAAGGATTAGATAAATGAGATCTGATAAACTCGGAACCAATGAAACTTGTCAGGGGTGCCTCAAGGGTCTGTTCTTGGACCGATTTGTACGTTGCAGAAATACTGGATTTACTGAATAAAGGTGGTTATTATTGCCATGGGTACGCAGATGACATGCAGATCTGTGTTTCATGTTTTCCATATGAGATGCTTACCGTATTAGAGAAACTGACAAAAACTATATCTGATGTCGGTTCGTGTGTGGGTCATAGTAGGCTAAAGATAGAGATACAATGACATTATTAGTACATGCTTTCGTCAACTCTAGATTGGATTATTGTAACACTCTTCTATATGGTATAGCTGATAAACTGTTGTCTAAACTTCAGATGGTTCAGAACCAGGCTGCTGGAATGATAATCTGCAAATTAAAATTTGATCGTGCGTCACCAATTCTAAAGGAGTTACATTGGCTGCGTGTTAAACAAAGATCATGTTCAATGTAATGCTAATTTAGTGGTATAATGGTGTAATGGTATTTAAAAGTTTAAATGGTCTGGCTTCGAAATATTTAGAAGATAAATGTATTAGTTTCATCTATGTCATCACATGGTTGTTGAGGTCTGCTGATTCAAACACGCTGTATGTTAGATATCGGAATATGAAAACAGCAGATAGAGATTTTGCAGTTGCTGGGCCTGTTTTATGGAACAACTTACCTATCGAATTACGTATATCTAAGTCATCATTAGCTGAGCTTAGAAAGTCTAAAGATTAACTCCTAGTGATCTCCACCGATGATGGCTTTATACGACATCAACATGCTTTATACGAGGAAAGCGCTAATGAGGAGCAATTATAATTGGCGCTATATAAATTCAAAATTTGATTTGATAGGTACATCAGAATATTAAACATTTGGAATGGTTTGAATGAGGATGTTGTTAACGCTTGTGGAGTAAATGAATTTAAAAAAATGTTGGATGGTGCCTTGATGAATGTTGATTTTAAATTTGATTGGAAAGCTTTATAGATTTGCTTGACTGTTAATTAATAATGTTTTTTTTATCATTATTTATGTTTTTATTCTTATCTATTATTTTTAGTTATTATTATGTTATATTTTGTTTGATTTACGTTAAAATGACATTATACAATTTATGTTTATTGATGTAGGCCTAGGGACATTATGTTTTTGCCTATTTTTGTTCTTGATAATAATAATAATAATAGGGTTCTATCCTTGGCCCTCTTCTATTTATATTCTATACTCTTCTATTTATATTCTATACTTTATGAACTACCTCGTATTATTAATTATTTTTCTTTCACTAGCAACTATATGGTGAGGATTCTTATATTTATACTTCTTTTCCTCCATCTAATCTCAATAGTGTTCTTCATAATCAATCTCTACGTCTTTTTTTCTATTATCGCTTGGTTTGACTCTATGGGTTTTAAACTTCATTCTTCTAAATTTGAATTTATTTGTTTTAACAAATCCAAACGCTCTATTACTATTCCTTCTATTATCTTACCTGATTCTAAAACTCTTGATGTATCCTTTAAGTTTCGTAGTCTAGGCTTTATTTTTGATTCTAGCATGTCTCTTTTTTTCAGATTAATAGTGTTGCTAGAAGTTCTTACTTTCATCTACATAGAATAAAAAAAATTTGTCTATTTTTGATGATCCTACTCTTCTCCTTCCTGTTACTTCTTTAGTTTTTATCTAGGATTGATTAATGTAACTCGCTTCCAGAGTCTACACTCTATTCTTTAATTTTGGGTTTAGACTATCATAAATACAATTATTTATAAAGATCACTGCGTTTTCGGCATTATTCAACTTGTAGTTGAGTTTCTCTTTTATATAAAAAACTTTTATATAAATAAAAGTTAGAAAAATTGAGAAACTCAACTACAAGTTGATTCATGCCGAAAACGCAGTGATCTTTATACAATATTGTATCTATCCTTAAAGTAAAGCTTTTAATTCTACTGCTAGTTGCTCGTGCCCCTTTCTTTTCTCATATATCTCTGTATCTTGTTCTCTTGCACTGGCTACCTATAAAATATGGAATAATTTTAACATTTGCACATTTATGTATAAGTCTCAATCTAAATTATCTCCTAAATACTTATCAGATATATTACTTGAACTAAACGCCCCGGTTTACGATCGTCTTTTTCTTTTTAATTAATGTTAAACACTCTTTTGCCAAATTTGCATTTGCTTTTTCTAGCCCGTTCTCTGGAACACTTTACCTTCTTCTCAGACTTCTTCTCAATCACTTAAAAAGTTCAGAGCGGATCTCAAGGCCAATCTGTTTGCAAAATTTATTGAGGAGCGCTGTTAAACATTGCGGAAATAGCACTTTATAAACTAATTGATTGATTAATTGATTGATTGATTGATCGATTGATATGAAGACAAGACATAACTGAATAAGTCTTCTCTTCTTTAAATAAATTTTTACCTTATTTTTATATTTAAACCTTTTGATAATGGGCATTTGTTTTACAATATAATAGCTGAGTATGATTTTTAAACAGGAAAACATTTTACTTTTTGTTTAGATTTTATTTTATTAATGAAAATAAAATAAAAAATATTTAGATTTTGTTTTAATTCATTTATTTTTTTACAGGCAGTGAAACTATCAAATGAAAAAATTTCAGGTTTGATTATTTTTATTTATTTTTTAATATTTGCATAAATTTTTGGCAAAGTTTTACTTTTTTTTGTTTTAATATTATATATATATATATATATATATATATATATTTCAAAAATTCAACACTACTTTCAACATTGTTAACTTTTTTATATTTCTT